AGGAAATCTGTAATAGTCACAAAACACATATTCTCTTTAAATCCTTTTGATTTTCAGAATTAGAATCCATAAATCTACCTGTTCCATCATGATCACATACAATTTTGTTATGTTGGTGTGCACAAATGCAACACAAACACCTTCTAAACAAACAGTAGTTAATATCCTTACAAGTTATATATAGCAACATTTTTGAAGTTTTCAAAATCCATCATTTCAGCTGTCTTCTAATCTGCATGTACAGCCTCAATAAGATACCATATGAAATAGCATTTTCAAAGAAAAATATATTGCTTATTGGGTGCACATAAATATCACATCCAGAATGCTTGCACATATAATTTTCCAAATTCAAAACCATTTTCTAATCCAAAGAAGCAGAGTAGTCAGAAGTAAAAGTCATTTAAAACTGACATTACAATACCAACAATTAGCTATTATTTACATCTCCAAATGCCCTGTGTTTCTATGTGTCTTAGACTTGTTGGTACCACAGTGAAGCAGTTAATAATCTAGAAATCCTGAAATTATCATTTCCCCTTGTTTTTCTTCTGGTCAGTAAAACATGCTTACCCTTGCTAATTCATTACAGCTACTGAGCAAGTATCGTGTCTGTGACTGTTTCAGCTGTCATTTCTGCCAAATTCTAAGGCTATAAGTCCTTCAGCAACTGCATTGCCTCTTCTTTCTCTTTTTCTTTCTGTCTAATATGTGGGACATGCCAAGTGATGAGATGCTTTCTGGCAGTCTGAGAAAATGCCAACTATAGAAGAACAGATGTAGTCTGTCCATTAAGCTAGAATTGCTCACCTAGTGTAACATGGGTAAGTTCACATTTTGTATTCCAGGATAATTCTTATCACTGAAAATATACTGTCAGTTTAAATCATTTCGCCTATTACAAATGTACTGCATTAGCCTTCTCGAAAGTTTCTCTACCTAAGAAAACAACAATAAAAAAGTCTGTCTATTCATTTCAATTACTGGCTGTATCTTTTTTTTCCATGGAAGGACCAGCTGAAGCGTCTAAGAATTAATATAAAA